GATGCACCCTGTCTCGCCCAGTCAAGTGATTGGCCTCTACTAACCTTTTATGTTATGAGATTACATGATAAAATAATTCTATGAACTTGATTATTAACCTTAATCCTTCACTAACCTAACAACTAGGTGATGGAATGAATAAATATCACTTAACTTAGATTAAACGAATATAACTATATATCTTCCACAAAAACTATATGATTTTCCGTCAAGAAGTCAATTTTTAATTTATAGTCTTAAACATAACCCAAACTAAGAAATATTCATAAAAACATATTCAAAAGACACAATTGATTACCAAAAACACCTATAACTTGCATTATTTAAAGAACAATTCACCCAACAAGCAACATGTTATAAAGAATAAGGAAACTTACCCGGATTCCACGCAAAGCAACAAGATGCGAAATTTGAATTAAATAATACATATGATCCCAAACATGCAATTGAACATACAACAATGCAAAGCTAAGTCAGTTTAAGACTACTAACCATGATTTAACGCAAACAAAACAACTAACACAAAACAAATCTAAACATGCTAAACATTGCATGATGATTAAACCGGACTTATGCTATGTTTGGATTGAGTGATTTGGAGAGAAAAGAAAAAGAAATGGAGAGATATGTATTTCTCATACTTGTTTGGATAACTTAAGTGGAGAGAAATGGGAAGAAATAGAGAGAAATAGAGAGAAACTCATTTCTCTTATGAGCCTCATTTTCAATCTTCCCAAAAGTGGAGAGATTGTGAGAGAAAAGAAACTACTATTTTCATAATACCAATTTTGTCCCTATAAAAATAAAAGAAATAAAATGATTGAAAATATAAAAAGGTTATTTTAGTAATATAACATAAAATAATTTCTTTTCTTTTCTTTTCTCTTAATGAAATCTAACCAAACAAGAATGAGAGAAATTACAATCATTTCTTTTCTTTTATTTATTCCTTATCCAAACAAAAAGGAGAGAAATCACAATCATTTCTTTTCTTTTCTCTTATAACTTAAGTAATCATTTCTTTTTTTTTCTCTCCTAAGTTTCCAAACACAGTGTTAATGCATGCTTACATGATGATTAAACCAACCTACATTATGATTTATGCTAAAACAACACCCTAATTGTTATCAAACAATGAAAACATGATTAAAACATTATGAAATCAAAGAAAAATAGAAACTTAGTTGTTGGTTTGAAACAAACCGAAGAGCACAATCAAAAAGATGAGAAAACTAGCTTTCAAGCTTCTCTTAGGTTTTAGCAAGAGTTTTGATCAACTTTGCATTAAACCTTAAATCTACTTTCAATTGTAAAGCTACTGTTAGCGTTGGATAATTTTGGATTTGAGGGGTGTGGTTCAAGGTTTGCACTTCTGTCTCACTTAAAAAACTCAAGAATTGTTCTAAGACTTTGTCCTTTCAAAGGGGGAGAGACGAGTGGTATCTATAGGCAAAGAGGAGCTTATTAGGGGCCAAGCACGGAGCTGCTAGGGGTGCCCCATCGCTTTCTTCTTATGCCTCCCATCCAAATGTAGCTACAGTCCACAGCGAAATACAACTTTAGACTGTCAGGGCATTGTAAGGGCACACTAGGTTTGTGCGAGCACACAAGGCATGTACGGGGGCGCACATGCCCAGCTTAGGGACACATGCCAATGCATGCAGAGGTGCAAGTTTCCATACTTTTGGGCCTACTTGTTGCCTAAGTAAGCCCGATTAACTCTTAATCGATATTTCTAAGTAAAATAGGTCAATGCTTTTAAAAATATTGCTAGGTTCAACTAGACCTTCTTCCCTTCCTCTCTTCCAGGGCCGGCCCTGGGCTAAGGCTGGTGAGGCTTGTGTCTAGGGCCCCAAAAATTAGGCTTAAAAAAGGCCATAAATTTATTACTCTTGTAGTATATTAAAAATTTAAATGACTCAATTTTATTTAATTAATTTAGGCCATTTTAAAGGGGCTTCAAAAAATCTATTTGGCCCAATTGATAAAAGGCCCAATTAAAAAATATTTATAAGTATTAGTTGTTAGTCCAATTAAAAAAATAAAAAAAATATGTATATGTATTAGTTGTTAGCCTAATTTTGTATGGCCTATTTTTTTTTCTCTTTATGGCCCAATTATGTGTTTTTTAGTATTTTTTGAAAAAATATTTCGCACAATTTTTATTTATTTATTTTGTAAATACATCTAATTTAGAAACGCTTAAAAACTATAATATTTGTGTTTTTTTTTTTTAAAAAAGTTACCAAATACAAAAAGATATAAAAAAAAAATATGAATTGCAAACTGAAACAATTATTTTTAAAAACTCTAAACTAAACATAGTGATTTTTTTAAATATCTAAAAAGGCCCCGAAAAATTATTTCGCCTTAGGCCTCCGAAAACTCAGGGCTACCCTGCTCTCTTCTAAGTGAGACCAAAGAGTTTGGTTTTAAATAAAACTGAATTTAGGGGTAAAATTGTTATTTTTGTAAGATTATTTTGGCTTAAATAAGGTAATACAGTAACTTATAATAATTTCAAATATATGTAGAGATGATTTTGCTTATGTCAGCTTTTGCATATTTGAAAATACCAAATTTGCCTTTACCAATGCTTAGTTTTATTTCAAGCATGGATATTTGAATGCATGTTGGAAGAGGTGTAAATCTGGCTTGGCCCGGCCCACTCGAGTTCTGGCTGGGCGTGACCTATGTCGGGCCTCGCGGGCTTTCGTCAAAATTCAGGGTCAGGTCGGGTCGGTCCGACCCATGGGCCAAAAAAATAAGCCTAGTCCCAATCCTAGGCCCAAGGGTATTTGAGCCTTGGCGCGGGCCTAATTATTTATTTTTTATTTTTTTAATTTGTTTTGTTAAAATTTTATTATTTTTCATTAAAAAAGATATTAGGCCTTAAGCGGATCAGACTTTGAGTGGGCCATAAGCAGATCGATGGATCAGACTTCAAAATGATGGCCCAAACCTAAAGACTCGAGTCCAAACAAGCCTAAACTGACCGGACCCATCTCGAATTACAGGTAGACTTCAAACTGCCTACGGACTACAAACTATTTTTACACTCTTACGTGTTGCCCACTTGGCTTTGATAAAATTGTCTTAAAATGCACGTACAGGACATTGCTTTTTTGCACTGGTTTTGATGAAGATAGTGCCCTATTTCCTTTGACTTTAGTATACCAACCCTAGTTCACAATAGCATAATCAGGAGTATCATCCGGAAGCTCATTTGACAAGTCATTATTAATGGCTTTATTGTAAAAAATTTAGTTTTCATAGCCTATCAAAAATAAACTTTTACATAGGATATTATTTTTATATATTTTCAATCACAAATATACAAAAAAAATTTAAACATGTCAAATTATTTATAAAAATAGAATTTGGGACATTAATTTTATTGTTTTAATAAAATAAAAAAAAAATCTATAATCTTTTACAATTGTAACTCCCAAACAAATTTACACTATGAAATCATTAATGGTAAACTAAACATCCCAAATGATTGATTGTCGAGCCAACTTGCAAAGCTTCTAGAGGCTGACTATCAACAAGATTTTTGAAGATGGTAACAAGAAGAGTTGGCAGAAATGAAGAAAAATTGGGAGAGAGAGAGAGAACACTGCACTCTGGTTGTTGCAATCTTAACGGGCCAATTTTAATATTCACCCAACTCAATGAATAAAAAAAGAACATAGGCACCGTTTGGGAAGGAATTTTGTGGCCTTTTTTTGATTATTTTAGTCACAAAAAACAAAATAAGCTATTTTAGCCATAACAAACAAAACATCACATCCAACTCATAATCATTATATTCTTCTCTCACAAAAAAAGTCAAAAAAGTCAAAAAATCCTTCCCAAACCAAGCTTTTTAACCCAGGCTAAAATAGTCAAAAACGCCAAAAAGTCAAAAAGCCCACCCACTTCCCAAACCAACCCATAATGTAGTATCCAAGAAAGAAGAGATAAAAAACTGGCAAATTAGCAAAAGTTAAAGGGTTATTTGGGATGATATATACTTTTTAATTTTTTATAAAAATATATAAAATGTGATAAAGAGATAATATGACTCAAATAAGAGATGATGTAACTCAAATAAAATAAAAAAATATACTAAAATAGAAGATGCCAAACAACCCCCGAATTGACATTGCAACAGCATGAAATTGTTTCCCCAAATTATTTCAGAAACCTGCACCAAATCATCCCCTATTTGGCATTTGATTTCTGAGTCAAATCACATCCAACTAAAACCAAATTTCATATCAATTTTGATGAAAGCAAATTCATATTCATTCAAAATAGAAAGAAGTTAATACTGTGTGCGCAAAAAATGATAGAATTATATGGAAGGTGATTGAATGATTTCATAGAGAGGGGACAGCTCACTGCGAAAATTTGAGGAGAACAATTCCACACTGCTCTTTCAACCAAAATTCACTCAGGTTCGCAAAATCATCATGCTTGATAATCTTAATTGAATATATGCACACGCACGCGCGCGCGCACACACACATATACTAGAATTGGTGCCATATTGCGTGTGCACATAATGTAACTGAAACAATTACATAAATTTTTTATTTTGAACGGTAGATTTGACAACTTTACTAGAGTACTGTAGTGCAAATCCTCTTCAGTAAAATAGTATCTTCATTTCATTTCAACAATCACTAATCTAATACAAACAAATCTAAAATTTGGATAGAAAAGGAAGTGCAGCTCTAGAGATTTTTTCTCCCACTAACTACCATGTCAATTTGTTCAAGAATTACTACACTATTGCAGACACAGACGGATAAAAAAAATTATAGTGCTGTAGTACAACTTTTTAATACATTTTAGTTCAATGACACTATATTCCCACAATATTACTGTACTTACTCCACACGGTATGGCCAGTTCAAAAAAACCTATGATCATGCACCATTGGTGTTTACCTTTCATTGCTCAAATTGCTGTGTAATACTTCCCATTAAGAATTCTCATCTTCTCAAAAAATTTCAAGTCATGTCTTCAACTTCAAGATAAGAGAAATTTATAGGCTTGCAAGCTCCAACGGCATCAACTTTCAACAAACTATGAAAATTTTCAGGCTGTGAACCTACAATTGATGCCCTTGAGAGGATGGTCATGCAGAATTGGATTTTGACTGCAGCTTGAGTACTTGTTGGCTTGATGGCTGGAAATTTCAGAGCCTACATAGATCAAACCGTTCATAGAGATACAGTAAATTCTTAATTTTCACTTTTTCTTTAAAAAAGTAACAGATCCTAAAATCTTCAGCAATGCTAAAGACCATGAATTTAGACACACAAAAAGACCAAGAAAAATAGCATATGGTCCAAATTCATTCAAAGTGTAGCCCCAACCATACAAGAGTTGAATCTTCTTGGTCTATTAATGTGTCTGAATTCTTGTTCCCTGGCAAAACTGTAAAATCATATACCTTCCAAAAATTCAGAGCCAAAACTGTTGCTGTAAGTTTTGGATTTATCTGCTACAAGCCCTTGGTTAGAATGTAGTACAGCAAAACCATTTTTTTTAATATTCTTTTGAGGAATATCTAGCAGATGAGACTTCACACACTTCTTTGCCTTTTTCTGAGTCCTGATATTCTTATCTGCATCATGTTTTTCCAAGTTCCAAATTTAAGAAAAATAATGAGAATAGAAAAAAATAAATTTCAAGGGGATCTTTTACAAGAAAAGAACAAAGATAATGAAAAAAGAAAAAGAAAAAATTACCAGAGTATGTTCTTGTTGCATGAGAAACTAAATTCATGATGCAAAGAGCTGCATCTACTTCATCTAAACCATATACTCTTACTATGTTCACCTAGGGGGAGGGGAAAATAACAGGCAGACAATTAGAACAACTTCATGCAGTAAGCTAGCAGGAAATAATACCCGACTTTCCCTGCAAATGGAGAAAAGTGTAATGGCATTTCAACAAGGAAAATGCTAAACCAACAGAATTTACTAATGACACAATGTAACAATAGCATACTTGTAAAATATACTCAAAATGATGGGCATTGTGTTTTTAAGACCACAATCTGCCACATAATTTTGTATAATAACTCTGTATATTTTTCTGTTTGTATACCACTGCTCAATATATCATTGCCGGGATCCTTGCCAAGAAAAATATTCTAATTAAATGATCACCGACCCTTTTTGGCCACTATTTTTGTTTTTTGAAGAATGATGGTTTTTCATTTTGATTCTGATTCTGATTCTCTCCATTTCAGTTGATAAGGTTGCAACACATCATCAAAATCCAAAATCCAAAATCAATGGTTTATAATTATCATGTCATTTTAAGTCTGAAAATTTCCCTTAACAAATTTTTAATCTAAAATAAGGATCTGTTGAACTAGTTGTTTCACCGGCATTTTTATTTCTAAACTTTCTATGACAACTGCTACAAATTTTGTCTCCAAAACAAACCATAGCTTTCAAGATTAACTCAAGTGGATATTACTTGAACACTACCGTCCATCATAAAAACTTCAATTCAATGAAACTACAAACAATTACCTTTAATGTACATGGTTTGATCAAATGGAAGACCAAACGATCACCTTTAAGTAGTCTATGCGCTAGGGAGAAAGCTCTCCATCCAGCGCTGAGTCCGTGCCTTTCCACTAAATAATTCTTCAACTCTTTCCCACATTCATTATGCCGCCAGTGATGTGGTATCATGCATTGGCAAATGCAAATTGCAGAATTTTTTAGGAAGAATCTGCCGTGAAAGAAGTTAGCAGAATACTCTGTCTCACACTCCAAATAACATCTATCTTTAGAGCAGAAAAAAGTAGAAATACAAAAAAAAAAATAAATAATAAATAAAATAAAAAATAATTCGGGCTTACCAGCCAAAATCCATGGGTAACATTTGAGGGAAGCATACACTTAACAAAGCTCGGGAATCCATCTGCTACATTTGCCAGAACCTCTTCAGTGCGCTCCATAACAGAAAACTTAGCTTCGTCATTATTATACAAGTCTTCAATCCTCGTCCTCTTCTTTCTACAGCTTTAAGTGGATCATAGAGGCAAAGCAATGTTGTTACAACTAACAAGATAATCCAAAATACGGGATTGCTTTTGCCTAAAAATTATAAATACAAGGACAAAAGAACTGAACAGCCATTCAAATAAAATGACTTACCTTGCATATTTTCTGCAACCATCAGAAATTGCCTGTTCAACAATGCAAAACATTTTTCTGTTAGTCCATTAGTTCTTTGCTTGCACCACCTAAATCATTTTAGTCATGCTTGAAAGTATGAACGATGTAGAGCCGTCCAATCACATTTTATAGATAACATGAAACAGCAGCATCCAACAGAAAAGTATAGTCTCTTCCACTTAATATGTAAAATATTCTGTGTTTGTCCTCTGACTCTATGGATCCTCTTCCCAGTAAGGTGCTTTATTGAGTTTTTTTCTTTTTTGTGTTTTTTGTTTGGAGGTGGCAATGTCCCTCTCCATTCAACAAGGCTTCTATCACCACTCAAATCAACTCATAATTCAAGATTGTCCCACATTTAAATGTAATCACTTTCCCAACTCCCTTCTCTCTCTCTCACTTTGTGCGTGTAGAGGCAAGCAGACACGTGCATATTGTTTGCACCTATGTATGCATTCATGTTGTTGTATTTCTATGTACTTAAGGAATATTCTTACACCAATCTCACACAAAGATCATCTTTTCAAAGGATTAATTAACCAATAGTCAGATCAATAACCAAACCAGAACTTACCGGAGCAGCGTACTGCTCAATGCATGGCAACGGATTATATATCAACTACAACAATTTATTAACCTATATAGCTATTCAGGCCTCGTTTGGCAAGAGGCTATTTTAGTCAATTAGTCAAAAAGTTACTAAATTAGCCAAAAAGCTAACAACCCATACCAAAAAGTCAAAGATTCTCTTTTCTCTCTACTTTTTGCACATCTTTTCGTAATTAGCCAAAAAGTCATCCCAAACATACAAGTTTTTTTTACCTACCTTTTTAGCCAAATAGCCAAAAAGTTACTAAATTAGCCTGTTCCCAAACGAGGCCTCAATATCCATGGGGTACCCCTCAATAAACATGTAAGAGATGACAACATAACTAAATTGACCTTTGCCAAGATCTGATCGGATAACTAAACTAGATTGAAACGAATCAAGAACGAACACAACAAGATTTATATGTACACATTATATATGCACAAAAATACCAAGGTTTCAACTTTTAGGGTTTCCATAAAATTGCACATCATATATGTACACATATAAACACAAAACAACCATGGGAATATAAAGCAAAAAGGCAGAAATTAAAAGATTAAAAAACAAAAAACCCAAAAATGAAGGAAAAAAGGGGCATGTGCAAGCTTCTGTCTGCTTTGAGAAGAGGAAAAAGATAGAACAGAGAGCAAAGATATTGATTGAGAAAGGGACTTTGATTAAAAACAAATCAATAATCTCAGATTAAAAACTACAATCCTAATTTTCCCAAATGGATCAGTAGATAAAAGAGAAGAACAATTCTCACTTGTTTGGCCTTAGATTGGAGACTCGAAGGGGTTGATGGGGCCGGTTTTTTCACGGTCTTGAGTGATGACCTCCTCTGCTTAATCTGCCACTGAAAAAATAGCAGATTCTGAATGATCAGAACAAAGACAGAGACATACCCATATATGTATGCATATGGAAAGAAAGAGAAACGATGGGAGATCAATCAACCGGGTTTGAAATACAGAGAAAATAGCGAGGACGAGCGATGAACTCTTCTTGATCATCTTCTTCTTCGTCGTCAACACAAAGTTGGGTCTCCTCTTGTCGCTTGAATTTCACCTTCACCTGCTCGGCTTCCATGGGTACCTGACTCTCTCTCTCTCTCTCTCAGTTTAAACTTGCGGCGTATTTGTATGTGTATAGATACAATCATATACGCGTACAATCATACACGACAAAAACACGAAAGAGTAGTAGTAGCCAAGCCAACCTAGGCAGAGGACAAGCCAACCCGGGCTGCCGTCATAATTTAAACAACTTATGGTTGGTTTGGGATGTTGTAAAAAAGTGTACTTTTTGACTTATTGACTTATATAGATTGGGTTTGGGTTGGGTTTGATGTGGTGTGTTAGAGAGGTGATGTGATTTAAATAAGATGATGTGACTTAAATAGGATAATGACTTTTTGACTTTTTGTATTATTTAGTGTACCCCAAATCAAGCCTAAATTTGACATGCTATGTTAGAGATCCAAACGGTTCAATTTTAAAAATTATTTCGTTTCTAGTTTCCAGTTTATATTTATAAAATTTTTAAAAGATATTATAAAAATTTATTTGATAATTTTTTTAATTTAAAAATAGTTGTCTTAGTTTATAAATTTTAAAAAAAAATATAAACTCAAAAAATAAGTTTATATTGGGTTTTAAACAGAAGTTTAAAAATTTGACTAATTTTTTTTTTCAAATAATTTTTTTTCCCAATTAATTTTTTTTTTCAATTATAATATGTATGATCCCATTGTCATAAATAATAAAAAATAAATATAAATATTTTAGGTGTGAACAAATATATTTTTTAGTTTATGTTTTTAAAAATTTTCAAACATTTTTTTTCAAACCAAACACATTTTTAATTTATGTTATTCTAAAAATAAGCAAAAAATCAATTTATAAAAATTTTGTAAACATAAACAAAAAAAACGTAAACGTTACCGGACACTGCCTAAATGGTTTATCAAATATTTTATTAAATATTTTACATGGGCGTGAGATTCACATGAGACCCACATAATGTGAGTCCCACAATTATGAGAGCATCTCCAATAGTGTTTGCTAAAATAGCATTGCCTTTGTTATAATTTAGCAATGAATAGTATTATTTTGCCAAATTATAGCAATTGTGCTTCAATGATCACATGTTATTTTGAAAAATCTCAACTAACTTTTCTTTCAAGTTTGTAGGTGTTGTTTGGATATAAGTTTTTTAATGATTTTTTTTTAATTGTTTCTAAATTTTTTTATATATTTACATTATTCCAGACTAGACAAATATGAAAAATGAAAAAAAAATTGAAAAATTGATACATTTATAGCTGTTGTTTGTTACTAATTTTAAACATATTTTTTTTCAAGCAAAAAGAGCACAACTACTCTTTTGCCTTTCCAAGATAGATCACCACCGTCTATCTTAACCATTTCCAACGGTTGAGATAAATGATCCAAAATCATCTTGACTCTCCTCTCTCTCTCTCCCTCTCTCTCTCCATTTCCTCCTCCCTTTTCCTCTTAGTCTCCCTCTATCTCTCTTCGATCGGCGACGGTGTCTACCCCTAATCGCCGAAGACCAACCTTTCCTCACTCTCCCTTTCACTCACACTCTCACTCTATCCCTCTAACTCTTACTCTCTTCTCTCTCTCTTCGATTAGCGACAGTATGTACCCTCAATCACCGAAGGCCAACCTTTCCTCTCTCTCTCCCTCTCACTCTATCCCTCTCCCTCTCTCTCACTCTGTCTCCCTTCCATCTCACTTCTCTCTCTCACTCTATCTCGATCTCCCTCTCACTTCTCTCTCTACTCTCTAGCACTGTCAATCGCTGTCGTCTACCCTCACCTCTCTCTTTCTCTCTCTTTTTCTCTCCTAGAATAGATTGGCGACATTGGACAAGATCGAAAAGACGATCGCTGATTCTGAACCAAGGACCACCAGATCTGCTCGCACCGCTAGCGATATGTTCACCGCTTCCTTCGACGCTGTGACTCACCACCAAATCTACTTTGAACTACCAGAACTAGGTATTTATTATTTTCAATTTTGTTCATATTCTGAGATTTGAAGTTATGAAATTGCTTGTTGAGCTAGAATGAAATTGTTGAAATTATTGAATTTTTTTTTTGGGTGAATTTTGATAAAAAAATAAAATAAAATTGGTGAAACAGTTGCTAGGTTTAAGGGAAGGAGGGAAGGAGGGAAACCATTGGAGCATTATTTTTCAACACAACTGTTATATTACAGCAATGGCAGCTCCAATGGCAAACCGTTGGAGATGCTCTAAGACATTTGATAGAACATTTGATAAAACATTTGGGGTTCTTAACATTTTTTTAAATTTGAGCGTTGTTTTGTATTTATGTTATGTTTTTATTGATGTTTGGTTCAATTTGGCTTGATTTTATCAAATTTGAAGTATTTTAAAATCAAATAAAAAAATTGAAATCAAATTTAAATGGAACTAAGAAAATGCAAATTGTGTTTGATTTTGAATTACAATTTTTATAAACCTTGTTATTATTCTCAACATAATTAAAATTTACTCAAATATTGAGTAATATGTCACCATTTTACATACAAAATTGTTTAGAACAATTTCAATTATTATATAGCGGACACTAACAATAACATAGTGTCAACAACTTATGAATATAAATGAGACAAGGTTTGTCAAGTGTCTACTATAAATAGTAATATGTATATGTCTAAACAGTTCAATTTGATTCTAAATCGAAACCAAGACTATAAATCAAAACAAATGGATGCTGCTGTGCCCAAAGTGAGGGCTCGTGGGAGTTTAATTGGATATAAGTAGCCCTATAACAAAAGCACATTTGGTTTTTAAAAAATTAACGGTTAATACGGTTTTAATAATTTTTTTAAAAGCAATTAGGTCTTGATCATAGGTTACAAATATCCGATTAACTTAATTTTTTGCAAGGATGATATATTCGACGAACTCTATAATATGAATAGTTTGGATCATCAAAATAGACCCGGGATAAACTCCAATGAGCCTTCATAATAGGTCTACTGCAGCTCTATTCCCATAAAATCACGAATCAAATCGTGAAACATAGTTCACCTATTTTAAGAATGAAGACCAAACTATACATTGAGAAAACTAAAAGTAAATTGCATGATTCGCATCAAAAAATAAGTAGTAACATTAGTTTAAAAAACAAGAAAAAAAAAAATAGTAACATATAATGGGAATTGGGGAGGTTGTTGTGCGGCTTGCCAAGCTCATTTTGGAGTCTATTTCTATAAATTGAATTGCTCACAATATATAATTAATCTCATACTCTAAACATAGATCTTATATATCTTTAGGTGTTACATATATTACTCAGTTCATATCTAATTGGAGAACAATCAACAATATATCACACCAGATTTGAATCTTGCCTCCTATAAAAAGCACAAACACTTTCAAGAAGTTAAGGCGTTGTGTTACACCAACACGATACAACACTCATCGGATACTTCCTAATACCTAGCCTCATAAAAAGCACATCACAAGTTTAGATAAATGGTTGGGAAAAATTTACAAGTGAATGGAAATAGACTTTATTCGAATGAAAGGATGCAACCCTTCATGGTACCTCTTCATTATAAAGGGTGTGACCCAAGGATGTGTCTCTTCATGGTATGAACCAAGGGTCATGTTCCATCTTCATGCCTTTTCAGTTTAAACTGAACAGGTGCCAACAAGTCTATATAAAGGCAGCTCCCATTTCAGTTTTATTCATTCCAAATTCCTTAAGCATTCTTTTCTTGTATTCTTTATCCATGTGAATCTGAATTTTATGAGTGCAAAATATTATTTTGGTTCACTGTACAATCAAAGAGTGTGCTCTCTTCGTTTGTGGTTGTTAGAAATGGACGCCCATGTGGCATGACCATTTCAATGCTTTGAATTTATAACTGTAACTCCTGCATTAATGCGGTTTGTAACTCCTGCATTAATGGGGTTTGTAACTCCTGCCTTTATTGCAGAGGTTAATGGTGCATTAATGACCAGCCATAAAGGCTGGAGGCTTTTCCTCTCCCCCTATACATGTATAAATTGAGACCCTCCTGTCAAGTCTAAAACACTCAGAAATTTCCCATATTCTGACTCTCTCCCAAAAACAACGATCAAAGCCGTTTGCACTGTGATTTGTGTGGGTGATATTCACTGTTGTAATATCACCCCACTACTGGGTTGACTGATCAGATTCAGGAAGCACGTGATTTACCCACGAGATCTTTTCTATTCAGACTCTGCAGGAAAGGTATGACCATAATTTTTATTCCGCTGCGTTATACTGCTGATTTACATTGGTATCAGAGCCTAGTTGGGTATTTTCGTGTTTTCTTAATCATGTATATATATGTACACATTATATAGCATGAATTGTTTGTAAATTTACATGAAGATGCTATTGTATTGAATTTATCATGCTTTTTGACATGCCATAGTCAGTGGGAGGTTGTTCGGTTGAGAGAAATTTTTGTAGATTTACTCCCGAAAACTAATATTTTGCGCATAAATTAAATTGAATTTTGGATAATTGTCACCTGTAGCGCAAGAGATGATTACGAGCATAGCAGATTTTCGATCTTGCGACTTGTGTAATATTGTCACTATTTAATTTAGATTTTTGCGGCAACATTATATTATGCTAATCAAATTAATCCCAATGCGAATTTCTCTCTAAATTGACTTAGCTTATGGAAGTTAATTGGTTGACCTAGACTTAGTAAAGATGTTCAAATGTGAACAATGTAATCCCATTCTTTAGATGAGCAAAAGTCTTGGAGACTTTAGGTCAAGTCTTAATTGAGCCAAAGTAAGGAAACATGACTCAAAGTCGCCGTCCTAGGATAATGCCAAAGGCTCTAGTCCCCTGTTTTTAGAAAGTGGATCAATGTTGCGCAGTTTAAGACAAAGTCTTTGAGGATTAACCATTTTTATAATTTGGTTGACTTTCCATTATGACGCAAAACTGTTATAAAGTTATGTGTAATTTGGATAGTCATTGTTGAGGCATAAGGCTCGCTAGATACCGAATGGTCGCACCATTGAGGAAAGTGTAGACCATGAGAAGACTTCCTCCTGGGGAGTGAGGTTATTTTGACTTCCTCCTTGACTTCCTCCTGGGGAGTGAGATTATTTTGACTTAAGTTATGATTGACATAAGTTCGGAACATTATAATAGTGTGCGTTGAAATATCACGTGAA